GCCGCGGAGGCAGGAGGCCGAGCAAATCCCAGGAGCTGGTTGGCCAAACAGGTTCAGGTTCGCGCACATGTCACTCGTAGAGCTTATGCATCCTCCGTTTTGATTTCAAGTTGAGGGGCATTCCAGACTATATGTTGCTTTGATGTTTATGATTGCTTTCTTCCGCAATGGATCTAATGCATGTTCAACATGGCTGGATTTGCTTATAGCAGCTATACCCAACACCTTGGCCGAATCCCAGCATCATTTTGTTCTTTTGAACAAAGCTGGATTTGGAGTACAGTTTCTCCTTCATAGAACCAGCAGATGTTCAATCCGCTGGCGGCGCCAGACTTGGTACGTACCAGGAGCTTTGTACAAGCCGGGGCCCGATGACGAGTTTTTCTTCATCGGCATCTCTCACTGCTGGGAGTCTCGGGAGCATCCCGACCCTTTCGGGTACCAGCCGCTTGAACGGTCAAAATACACGGTATTGTTGAGATGGTTTGTATGTGAACTGCGAGCAGTGGAATAATCATGAGAGAGCGATGAATTTCGCCCGATGACCCTTTTTCAACTCAAGCACTCATGCCCCACATACATGTTCGATCGGCCATATCGTTGATCTTGGGATACGTGTTGGGGCGACAATCCTCACAGTGGAGTGAACCAGTGACAGGTTTTGACTTGAGATTGCTGACTGAAGAGTTGACCAACACACGTGTCGCCCTGCAATCAACGAACGGCTGCGAGGAAGACTTGAGAGCTGAAATTCGACATTCGTCTGTTCTGAGTGTGGTTTTCAGAGGGCTGCTTGCGGTTGAGTGTTTACTGTTGGCATCCTACTGGTTGATCGGCTGTCTTCATTCTCGCCGGATCGTCCCCCGGGCTGCGATTCAAGAGGCCGCTGGGGACTCAGAGATAGACACCCCATCCAGTTCAAGAACAGACACACCCAGTGCATCTAGCCCAACGCGGCGATCAGGACCGGTCAGACCTTCGGATCTCCGTCGGCATGGCCGCAGCCGTGATGACATTGGACATCCCGGAAATACAGGTGATAGTTGAATATGCTGCTGACCCAAACGCCTTTTATTGGCACCACAGGGTATTGCTGCACAAGCTGGCCAATGGCATCTGGCTAGCACTCACGCCGGATATGGACGTGGTCCGCCATGACCAAAACAACCAGAATCACATCGTTCTAGAGAGAAATTCTTATTTCCCTCGGGCTCAGGCACCATATGTCTACGCGATGGACCCTGTCTCCCGAGCTGTGCTTGAATCAAAGAAGAGAACGGCGCGGAACCAAGCCATTGTCTTGGGAGATGAGGACATGATTGACATCGCTCAGACTGTATGGCTGGTAGCGCAGCCAGGCCACCCGAGTTTTGGTGAGACAATTCCGCGAGATGTGGTGGAGGACATTCAGATTTCCATGGTGTTTGAGTCAAAGGGGGTGACCCTGAGGGATGGTGAAGAGGTCTTCATACAGATGATGCAGGCTTCAGAAGTTGAAGAATTCAAGAAGGGGCAACAGAGTGAAGAGCAAGATTCTCGCATCCTAGGAGTGCACACGAACAAGTCAGGCAAAAGACGCTTGGAGTTGGATGACGGACTCTTGTTGATGAGAGAAGACAAGATGGACGACTTCCCCTTGGGAGGTGACATTCGAGCAGTCAAAGAGTTCCTTGAGGCAGTGTTAGAAGGGCCGGGAAACCTACCTCGCTGCCACGTAGACTGGCAGCGGTTGAGTGGGATCTCAGACACATCAAGCATCAGCTTCGCGCACAAGCATCTCTGTGAAATGTTGCGGGTTAATGATTTCCTATGACCAGGTGAACCCATGCAACTTGGCGAGCGCAGAGTATCTAGTGAGGTGGTTGATTCAGCTTGAGACTGCAGTTGAGAGGAATCCTCGAGCTCCGTCCTTCCATGGATTGGAGCTGATCATGGGCGGCCCCACCACAGCCGAAGGAAAAGCAGTGACCAGAAAGTTCACCGAGCACTTGACAGCACTCCTCAAGACCCGTGCATCCATTTGGAAACAAGAGAGGCTGTACCAAGAAGAACTCCGGCATCAAGCTGGTCCATCCTCTCGTGTCGACAAAGGGGACGGAAAGGGGCGAGGTGCTGGCAAGGGCAAAGGAAAGGGGAAGACAGACAAAGGCGGGAAGGGAGAAGCTCTCCCTCCCGCCACCTCGGCATGAGGCAAGGGTGGCCCGGGTCATCGCACAGAGGGGACGCTCTGATGGCCCGGGAGGGACAGTCCCCACTCATAAGTGCATGTGCTGAGACAGTGAGTCGAGACCGCCGACATGGTGATCCATTTCCACTGCCTCTCCAAACTATGAATTCAGTAGACCCCGAACCGGGGATTCAACTACGCCTGCGGCTGATGAACGAGGCTGTGAAGTCAGTCAATGGATTGGCCGGCTCAATGATGAATTCACGCAAGTATCCGAAGCGCTCACATGGCTCTTGGTCACCCACCTTTGTGCAGCAAGTGGTCTTGAAGGACATGGAGGAGAGAGTTTCAAAGTTCGCTTGCTGTCCACTCGAAATGAGGGAGGAGGATGCCTTGAAGGAATTGACCAAGAGCGCAAACCTGTATTCGCAGGAGGCCAGCCACCTAGCCTCCTTTGATGTGGATCGCATTAAGATCTTCAAGAGGAGGCTGCGACCAATGGACGCATCGGCCCTTTGTCCGCCAAATGTCAGGGAGATGTTGAAGCACCAGGCTCAGTTCATCGAGAAGACAGACGAAGAAATTCAGCTTGGTGAGGTAACCGGGCCAGTGGAACCCTACTGGGATCCGGTGTTGAAAAAAGACAGAGAGAAGAGGAAAGAGCTGTATATTGCCCTGTGGAACTCTGGATTGCTTTGCTTTAGACGGCGTCGCAAGTCAACCATTGGTTTTTTTACAGTTCACAAGAAAGACGGCGTGCAGAGATTGATCCTTGACTGTAGAATAGCAAATACATGTCACAAGAGACCACCAACAACCAGACTGGCAACACCCACGCTTCGTTCCGTGGAATTGACATGACTGAAGACACCTTCAGCAGTCGTGGCTTTGGGGGGATCATGGGCGATGCAGCTGGAAATGAGGGGGGACGTCGGCGATTGTTTCTACAATTTTGCTATTCCTGGTCTAGCTTCTTATTTTGCCACCAGAGATGCCTTTACCACTTGGGAGCTGGAGCGTATGGGGCTGTTGCCACAAACCTTCTATGATGAGGAACTTGGTAGAGTAGTGCAACCTATCCCAGGCGAAAAGTTGATCCCTTGTTTTCAAGGCATTCCAATGGGCTGGACATGGGCTCTCCACATTAGCAACGAGATTGTCTCCTACCAGGTCAGCTTAGCATCGCGGGGATGCGTGTCTGGTGAGATCAGAGACAAACAACCTGCGCCTGAACTTGAAAAAGGAGGCACGCTTGTGGGAACCTATGTGGATAATGTCCAAGTCCTTGGGGGAAGCAAAGAAGATGTGGACTCGCACATGGAGCGCATAGTAGCCTGGTTTGAGAAACTTGGCATCCCCTTTACAACGGCAGGAGAAGAAGCTTTGGCTGAGTTTGAAACCTTGGGCATGGTTTTTGACATGAAAAATCGGTGCATCCGACACCGGACTCGCAGGGCGTGGCGGTTGTACTTGGCAACCAGGGCTTTGCTTAGACGTGGCCGCGTCTCAGGAGAAGTTCTGCGGGTCTGGCTGGGACATGTTGTCAACCACTTCCAACTCATGAAACCAGCCACGTCATGCCTGCATGCGTGTTATAGGTTCGTTCAAGCTGCGCTGAGCAGGCGCGCCTGGGTTTGGCCTTCGGTGCGGTCTGAGATGAGGCTTGTGATGGGGCTCATTTTTTTGGGGCAGCTTGACTGGGCCAGTGAATTTTGCAACACTGTTTACATTGGTGACTCTTCAACCTACGGGTACTCCTTGATGAGAACGAGCGCCTCCCGACATGATGTCAAAGAGGCTATGCTTTTCGAGGAGAGGTGGAGATTTATAGAAGCTGATGTTGAGGAGACTCCTTCAATGACCAACCACTGGCCTGAAAAGGTCAGTGGATATCACCCAGATGCTTCACTTGGCGTGAGGACACAATATGGTCGTTCGCTGTCTGAAGTAGCTGAAAACCACCGGATTTGGAGGAGGAAGTTCAGAGGACCTGACCGTTTTTGTACAACGACAGAGAAGAAAAGAGAGCTAGTTGAAGTTCCCTCGCTCTGCCGACCCTTGAAGAAACACTGGTTTGCAAAAGACCGGTACCAGCTTCTTGTTGCTCGAAAATGGAGGAACCAACAGGAACACATCAACATCAAGGAGGCGCGCGTCTCTTTGATGGGACTTCGCAGGCACTGTCGCTCGCAGTTTTGTGTGGGGACGAGACTTCTGACATTGTCTGACAATATGTCCAGTCTGTTGGCCTTCATGAAAGGGCGCTCCAAGAGTTTTGGACTCAACCAGGTAGTGCGGAGGAGCGCGGCCTACTCCATAGCCGCGCGGGTGCAGTGGAACATTAGGCATGTGCGCTCTGAAGAAAACGCGTCAGATGAATCCAGTCGGTGGCATGACCCCCATGTGCTGAGAGATTGGAAGAAGAGAAAGAAACAAGAAAGTGGCAGAGTGGACAAAGAGGCCGGCGCAGACAAGACTCCAGAGAAGATGGAGCTTGAGATCAGTCCTTTGCATGTAGAAGACATGAGCAATGACTCTGAGAACTTCGAGAACAAAAACGGGATGGAGCTTGCCAAAAGCACTTGTGGCTTATCTACCTTTGCTTTTCTTGGAGCTTTTTTCGGGAAGCGGGAGGTTGACATCGGCATTTCAGGCTACAGGCATGGCATGCCTCTACCCTTTTGAAATACACCAGGGCTGGGAGTTTGATTTGACTAAGACCCGCGACTCAAGCTTTGATTTTGGAGATGATCCAAGCTGGGCTCATCTGGTACATACATGCTGGAGTGCCCTGCACAGTTTGGTCAGTTGCCAGGCGAGGGATCACCAACCATCCCCGCGCTCGGGCCAGGGAAGAGGTGTCTGTTGAGCTCACAATGTTCTGCGTAGCAGCTTTTAGAGCATTGTCACGACTGGGAAGGTGTTGGAGTTTAGAGAACCCTGCGTCCTCAAGACTGTTCCAATTCAGACCGGTTGTGGACTTGTTTGGGCTACCAGCAGTTCACCTTGTGACCTGGGACATGTGTGCATGGGGAGAACCTCACAAGAAGCCAACGTCGCTGTTGACAAACATGACAAGTCTCAGCTCCTTGGCCCAAAGATGTAGGCGAGATCATCCTCACCGTTTGCTGTCAGGACAAGAACCATATAGAACGGCCGATGGCAAGCTGAAGTGGAGAAGCAAGACATCGGCAGCGGGCGAATACCCTCTAGGCCTGTGCCGCGCATGGGCACTGGCCGCTAGGGAGGATGCCTCAGCGCTGCGTGGCAAGCGGACACAACAGAGTTCGCAACAGCTGTACACCAACGCTTGCAAACGCTTGCTGGCTCCTGGTGTCGACCGCTCGGGGGAGACGAGACAAAGAATCGCCCGGACATCCAGCCATCTTCGCAGCCACTCTGCAGAGCGAAAGCCTACAAGCAGCCCATCATCTTCGGCCAACACACCAAGGCCGAGGCAGCATGGCTCCGCTCTCAAGGCGCGTGAGCAACGGACAAAGAAGAGAGAGAAGGCCGTGACGCCGTTGGAACAGTGTTTTAAACCACAGGACCAACTACGGCTCAAGGGCGTTTCTCCGCAGACACTCAGGCGGTATTTTGAGGCAGTGCGTGTTTTCAAAACATGGGCAAAGGCCAGCCGGAGGTCCCTGTCCAGCGCGGAAGCCCTGGACACGGCCATTAGCATTTTTTGTTGGAGCTTTACAATGACGGGGCACATATCTGGGAGGGAACTTATACAGTATATGGGTACCAGTTTTTGTATAACCGGGGCTCAGACAAAGATTACCTCCCAGCTTCAAAGAAGGCTCTGAAAGCGTGGCGGAAGAGGCAGCCAGCACTCACACGATTGCCGGTGCCTGAAGAAGTGGTTTTTGCCTTGGGTACACAACTCTTACGTCAAGGTCATGTGCATACAGCTATAGCCATGGGTTTGCAATATCATACTTATATGAGACCATCCGAGGTGATAACACTGCAACACCACCAACTCTGTCCTCCAGTCAAAAAGACACTCAACGCGTACAATCACTAGGGCGTTGTGCTGGCACCGGAGGAGCTCGGCACAACAACCAAAACAGGTGAGACAAATGAGAGTTTGTTGATCAACAGCGGATACCACCCGCGGTTGCCTTCAGTTCTTTCGGCAGTGCACATTCGCAACTCACGAAAAAGTGTTTTTCCTTCTTTGACCCTTGCTGTGTATGAAAAGCATTTCAAACAAGCTGTGGACGCTTTGGACCTGCCTTTGGACTTGACGCTTCACATCATCAGACACAGTGGACCTAGCAATGACTTTTACCACCAGCGCAAATCCATTAAACAAATCCAACGACATGGACGTTGGGCGGCTGAGAAAAGCGTCAAGCGCTACATGAAAAGCGCACTCATCATGCAAGCTTGGGCAAAGTTGAGTGACACACAGCAACACATGGTAGTACAGGCAGCTCGCGAATTTCCTCAGTTGATTCAACGAGCAGCTCGCGGTTGAAACCGGCAAACAGACAGGTATGGGCAGTCAGATATGGGGAAAGCAGTGCTTGAAACTTCGAAGTTTTCAGAATTTAATGATGCAAACGATGTTTTCAGAATTTGATGATGCAATTGGCTGATCACTAACAAAGATGAAGAATGTGATTGGCACTACACCCATGTAGCCAAGTACCTTGGCTAAGCGCTGAAAAAGACTGGTGCACGCTGGGCGAAGAGAGAGAGAACAGAATGATTGTTTTTTTAGTCTGATGGTAGTATTATATATATGTATATAGCCATTGCCATAGACCGTCAGAAAGCTGCGAAAGTTGAGCATGTTTAAACCCTTGAAGCGTTCCAAAGCATCAAAATCCTTGAAATCCTTTCAAGTCGGACCGGTCCGAGGCTCAAAACCATAGTGGATGCGTGGCACTACTGGAGAGAGGCCGCCCCTGATTGGTACGGAGATGACAACACCTACTTCTTCATTGATTACATGAGCTTGCCACAGTTTAAAAGAAGTGCAGAAGAGCAGACGTGCTTCCAGCGCGCGATGAAACATATGCACCTGTTTTATGCCTCTTGGAACGCCAACTCCATGTTTTTGAAGTTTTTTTGGATTCACCCTATAGCCCGTCCTCTCTGGCTTTAGGGTTTTGAAACATTGAATTCACCTCATTATGTTCCATCCTCTCTGGTTTTAGGATTTCTCCTTCCAATCCTGATTCTTTTTCCAGCCAGGAAAATGAAGGAATCTAGTGAGAAAAGCATGAGGCCACTGGGACGCCATTTGCATGTGTTTGAAGCCGTTGAGGCAAACAGTGGTGCTTCATCCTTTTGCAAGAGCGTGTGGCGCTTGGAAGACTTGACGCCTGCAGGTGTGAAGAGACAGCACCCCGGTGCAAACTGTGCCCTTTTCACATATTTTTCTGATTTTGCATCATCGACGTTCCTATCGCTCCTTTATTACTCAAACCCTTTTTGCCATGCATTCTCATCTTCAAAATCTGACCCCTAGCTTTCCAATGCGTTCCAAGACCGTTGAGAGACAGGTTGACCTGGTTTTGTAGTCTTTAAAGCAATTTATACAAAGTATATATATATATATAACAATGGTTAATTGTTCGATACAACCCATCAAAACAGTGGCTATAGTACCCATTAATCAATGGTGGTTGGAATCCTAGAGACTCAATGGTGGTATGCTTATCCTTCGGATTCCCCAGGCAGATCCGCCAAAGGCGGACCATTCCGGTCTACATCCTGGCTGAAGGGAAGGTGGTCGAAGTCCCCCTCAAGCGCTTGAAGCGCAGCGTTGGTGGCAAATGCAGCTCGTGTTGCGACGAAAACTGTCGCAATTTGCACGCGAATGACATCGTTTACCTCGGCCGGGGCTGGTGCAGGGCCGAGTATGAATGGGCCAAGCCCTACACCGTCAACATTTCGCGGTGGTGCGTGTGCCTGTGCCTGCGCCGCTGCTGCGCTTGGTATGACTCGTGGTTTCACAGGTTCTCCCTGCCCTGGACGCCTGAGGCGTTCCAGAGAAGTGTAGCCACCCACGCCTTGAAATTCACCCACCGCGGTGACATCGACCCGGTGCTCGAATTGCAACGCACAGTGTTCCAGCAGAAAGTGGCATCGGTGAAGAATTTCGCATGCAACTGGCTTCCGTGCCACGAAGTCGAAGACTTGGTGGAGCTTGTGCCGCTCCTGCAGGCGGTGCGGAGCTTCCGGCTATCCGCCGCCCATGTCGCTGACTCCCAGCAGCTCGCCTTGGCGACCGCCTTGGGGGCTCGCCCGGCGCTGCAGCGGGTGCGGATCGACTTCGTCCAGCTGAGGCCCGACGCGGTGCAAGTCCTGGCAGCGGCACCGTAGCTGCGCAGGCTGGACCTGTCCTTCTGCGGCCTGGGCGACGCCGGCGCCGGCGTCGTGGCGAACGCCTTGGCGCAGCACTCGACGCTCCGAGAGGTGTTGCTGCGATTCAACGGCATTTGCAGCTGTGGGGCGATGGCCTTGGCGACGGCCTTGGAGTCGAACGACGTCTTGCAGGTGCTGGAGTTGGAGGGCAACAAGATCCGCTCCCGCGGCGCAGTGGCTTTGGCCGAGGCCTTGCGAAGCA